TATGCAGTTTTCTGGCACTATTTATTGAAAATATTACCCCTTCCCCCATGAATTACATTGATCCCTTTGTTGAGAATCAGTTTGGCTACATATGAGGGTCTTTCTGCACTCTCCAATGGCTCACTATGGCAACCTGATTTTTAAATTTATATGAAAAATCAAAGGGCCCAGAGGAGCAAGACAATCTTGAAGTAGAAAACACAAGTCAGGGCTTCCCTGATGGCGTGGTGGTTGAGAGCCCGCCTGCCGATGCAGGGGACACGGGTTCGTGCCCCGGTCCGGGAAGATCCCACGTGCCGCGGAGCGGCTAGGCTCGTGAGCCACGGCCGCTGAGCCTGCGCATCCGGAGCCTGTGCTCCGCAACGGGAGAGGCCACAACAGTGAGAGGCCCGCGTACCACAAAAAATAAAAATAAAAAAAAAGAAGACACAAATCAGAGGCCTTAGCATTATAGTAATTAAAATAGTGTAGTGTGGATACAAAAATGAACAAATCAAACAGGAAAACAGAGTCAGAAACAGACTAATACATATTCAGTCTACTGACTTACAATAAGCATTCTACTGCAATTCACTGGGCAGAGGATGGTCTTATCCATGAATAAAGAAAGGTATAGGGAAATAAGTGAACTTTTATGCCTACCTCCCACCATATAGAGAATGAATTCAAGGGGATCATAGAGCTAAATATGAACTGCAAACATGGAAAAGCTCCAAGAAGGAAACATAGGAGACTATCTTCGTCAATGTTGGATTAACAATGATTTCTTAAATAAGATGTAGGAAGTTCTAACCATAAAAGAAAAGATTGCTACATTAATTTTTATTCAAATTAAGAACTTTTGTTTTGCCCAAAGACATTAGTAAGAGATTAAAAAAGCAAACCAAAGCCTGGAAGAAGTTACCTGTAAAGGCATCCAACCAAACACTCATCTCTAGGGCTTCCCTGGTGGCGCAGTGGTTGAGAGTCTGCCTGCTAATGCAGAGGACATGGGTTCGAGCCCTGGTCTGGGAGGATCCCACATGCCTCGGAGCAACTAGGTCTGTGAGCCACAACTACTGAGCCTGCGCGTCTGGAGCCTGTGCTCTGCAACAAGAGAGGCCGCGATAGTGAGGGGCCCGTGCACCGCGATGAAGAGTGGGCCCCGCTTGCCACAACTAGAGAAAGCCCTTGCACAGAAATGAAGACCCAACACAGCAAAAATAAATTAATTAATTAATAAACTCCTACCCCCAGCATCTTAAAAAAAAAAAAAAGACTCATCTCTAGAGTTTCCATAAATTGATAAGCAAGCACAAACAATCCAATTTAAAAATGGCAGACAACTAGAAGAGGCCCATCCCCAAAGAGGAAATTCAGATGGTCAACGGCCTGTCTCATGGTGGTCAGTGTCACTGACATTTGGGGAAACGCAAATTAGAACCAGAGTGAGATACAATGATGCAGCCCCAGACTGGCTGAAAGACTGATAACATCAAGTGTGGGCAAGGATGTAGAGCAGAAGAAACTTTCATCCGCTGCTGGCAAGGGGGCAAGTTGGTACAAATGAAGGATGCACATGTCCTATGACCTCACTATCCCACACCTAGACGGGTACCTAACAGAAATGCATGCATGGGGCACTCAAACACATATACAAGAATGTGTGCAGCGGCAAAACTGAAAACCCCCCAAATGTACATCAACTGAGAACTCGAGAAATAAATTATGGTGCATTTATCTGATAGTTCATAGCAATACAGTGAACCATGGCTACACTCAATAACGTGGATAAATTTCACACTCATAATTTTGGGCAAAAGGAATCAGACATGAAAGAGTACATGCTACACGGTTCTGTTTATGTCAGATTCAAAGATGAGCAAAATTAATATATATATGAGCACAGCAGCTACATTTTGGGGGAGGGAGGAGAAAACTAAGAGGCTGGGGGAATGATGCTGGGGGCCAGGGGTTTTCTGAGGTTCTGGGGATGTTCTAGAACAGGGTTTCTCAACCTTGACACTGTTGACATCTTGGTCTGGGCCCTTCTTTGCTGTCATATATGCTGCAGCATTCCTGGCCTCAGCCCACTGGGTGCAGGTAGCAAACACCCCCTCCTCCAGCTGTGACAACCAAAAATGTCTCCAAACGTTGCCAGTGGTCCCTGGGGATGGGGGCCAAAATTGCCCTGGTTGAGGACCTTTGTTTCATTGCTGGTCTTGGAGGATGAGGTTAGCAAGCTCACTTGGTGAAAATGCATTGAGCTGTACATGTAGGATTCATCAGATTTTCTGCATGCATATTAAACTTTAAGAGTTTTTTAAATTTAAAAAAAAAATTCAATGAATAACTAGAAGAGCCAAAACTTTTAGAGCTAGCAGGGACACTAGATGCAGTGTCTTGCAGATAAGGAAGCTAAGATACAGTGGCTCAGAGTTAACCCCACACCGGCTTCCCCTCCCCCACCCTGCCCCCTCCCTCCCAGGCCTACTCGCTCCCCAATACAGCCCAAGTCAGAGCCAAGGCCGATCCCATGCAGGTACTCGGTTGGACCTCTAGACTCCAAACCCCACTGTGGAAGGGGCTTGGTTGACCTTACACCCATACTCTGCAAAGAGAATTCTGAAAACCAATAGCTCATGCAAACAGGATATTAGCTTTTGTCAGAAAGATCAAAAAGGGCTTGAGGTTTTTCTTCTCAGCCTCAGCCTCCCCTGCCTCTCCCTCCCTGCTTTATCTGCTCGCTTCAGTCGGCATCAGGAAGAGATGGCAGCGGGTGAGACTCAGATCTATGCCAAGGTTTCCAACAAGCTCAAGGGCCGCAGCACCACCTCGCTCCTGGACCCCCTCCTGGGCATGGGCTTCCCGGCACACACCGCGTGAGTACCACCCTGGCTGGCCATGTGCCCTGGACCCTGAGCTGGCCCCTCTGGGGCCACAAAACTGCAGGTGGCTCAGAGCACTTACTTCCTGTCAAAGGGTGCACCATGCAGGGCCAGAGACTGGCTCAAAATGAGGCCTTTTCTGCTTTTATAAATGACACGATCTTTGCCTTTTAAAGACAAACTCTGCTGGCTGGTGATGGAGGGACCTTGAAATTTGTGAAAATTGGAAGCAGGGTTTGGAGGGGTCTGGCTGTACCCCCTCTGTGGGCAGCTCAGTGAATCTGAGACAGCTTTTTAGACTCGAATTTGAAAGTCCCAAAGCCGGGTGGGTCTCTGATGCTGGGACCTCTTGAAATACACAAGAATGTAGTTCTAAATATGCAGGGAAACCCCTTGTCCTTAGAGGGGGACTCTCTTGAATGTCTGATAATGGAGCGAAATGGTTAAGGAACTCCTCGAGCAGGGTGGACATGATCCTACTTGTCCAAGGAGAAGGGCCACACAGAGATGACCCCACCTTGAAGGTCACCCTCTGGGAGAGGACAGGGTCCCCCAAAACAATGAGCTTGAGACCGACATCAGGTTGCAGCTTCCACAGTTTTCTTAGATCTGGTGCTTTTCACGTGCTTATTCATGTGGGAAATACATCATAAGTCCCCTTAGGTAACCTCGGATTTGGGGGGGGGGGGGGGCAAACTCTCCTTAGACAGATGACAAACCCTTGCCCAACTGCGTGGAATGACTGAGGCTGGACCCCTTTCCTCCCCAACCCAAATCAGGACTTTGTTGTCATGTTATGCTCATAGTAAAGCGGGGGTCTGTGAGACGGGAACAGAACCAGGCGTGTGCAGGGAGCTTGCCATGGGCCGGGCACCATCCGTCAGGGGCAGACGGGGACACCGAGGCCAGAGAGGGCAGATTCTGGAGGGGCAGGGCTGGAACCCCACTCCCAGTAACACTCACGCTTGCAACACTCATGCTTTATTACGTGACCAAAGCCACCATCGGAGACATACTCAAAATTCCTTCCAGTTTAAACAGCTGCGTGTTGGAGGTGGAGAAACGTGTTTTAAACGTCTCCCTTAGGCGAGAGCACCCAGGTAAGGCTCCTGTTAACCTCTCCAGGCAGCCTCATCCCCGCCAGTATCCTCTGAAATAGCAGTGCTGGGCACTGGCCATCTTGGGTGCCTGGTCAACCCCAGCTATTTCCAGGCTGAATTCCCGGATGAATTACCTTTACCAAACTCCATCTGTCCAGTTCAGTCCCCTTCAGTTAAACTCCATTCAGTGTACATTCATCCCAGTTTCAAGGATGAGTAAGACTTGGTTGGGCCCAGGGAGCTTGTGGTCCAGTTGATCAGGTAGATAGACTCAAGTCCATTGAGATGAGGGGCAAGGTGGCCATATGTGCAGTGGGGAAGTGCAGGAGAGCTGCACGGGCATCCTGCTTGGGTGGTTTGCGGAGGGCTTCCTGGAAGAGAAACATCTGAGCCGAGCCTGGAATACCCAGTGCCATTTGCCCCAGGGCATGTTGGCACCGGGCCTAATCTTGGCAGGGAGGCATGTGTGCAAGCCTGGGACATGGCCCTGCACAGCCGACTCAAGGGTCCAAGAGCGGGTCCACCTGGCTTGGGAGCAGGTGCGTTGGGGAGGGATGGGGACGCGGGATTCAGGTGTGGGTGGACCTCAGGACAGGAGCCCTTGGACTCCGTGCCAGGGACTGGGGGTGGGGGCCAGGGAAGGAAAATGATGGGCTGAGATGCAGGGCGTCTGCGTTTCCAAAACCACAGTGATGCCACGCGGAGGGCGGAGGACTGGGCGCTGCATCCCACTGTGAGGTCTGGCTGTCCAGCCCCTGGGGGTGACCCCCTAAGGTCCCATGTGCTGCAGGGACACTCCTGTCTCTCTGACCTTTTCCAAAGAACAGAAGGCAGGTTCTGAGAGCTCCTCGCGTTCTCCCTCCCCACAGGCTCAAGGCGTTGGCGGCGACTGGAAGGAAGACGGCGGCGGAGGCGTCAGACTGGTAGGTGCAGGGTGAGCGCTGGGAAGTACCCAGGACACTCCAGGGGGCGGGGAACCTCCATGCCGCCCACCCAGCACCCAGGGAAAGGAATAAAGAGGCCCCGGTTAAAAAGGAAAACAAAAGAGAGAGAACTTTGAACAACGTTTTCTTCACTTAAAAGTCTGATTTAATCCAAACGTGCCTGTCAGTGAAGAGTAATATCCATGTGATTTGTTGAGTAAATAGGGCAGAGCCATTCTTGCTGATATGAAGGCGAGGTTGCCACCATCTTCACCTCTGATGGGGCGAGAACTTGCAGGTGGTGCTGAATGCCCCCCAAGGCCTCGCATGTTGCCCCTCAGGGTGCCAGGTGCCTGGGGGCTGGGGGGAGCTCTGGGTTCCAGGAGGCTCAGCCAGCCCTCAGCTCTGCAGCTCTGCCAGCCTCCTGCTGCTACGGGCCTCGGTTTCCAGCCCTGGGAATCAAAGAGGACACCCCGTTCTCTAAAACTCAGTCCCGCCCGCGTGTGGCCTGATGCCATCATCCTTCCCCTGGTGGGAAGTCCCCTCGTGCTCCGCCCCGGAATAGCTGCAGTGAAAATCAAACAAAAACCCCAGGTCCCGCCAGGCTGGGGTGCCCTCCCCAGAGCAGGATGGCAGACACAGGCACCAGGTCTCTTAGGGCTCAGAGTGTCCTCGGCGGGAACCCCCTCTTCCTCCAAAAACTCTAGGCCAAGGGCAAAAATGCCCACCCTGTACTGGACAAAGGGAAGCACCCGGGACCCTCTGGGCTAGGCTAACCCTAAAGTCCATTGCAGAATTGGAATTAAAAACCAAACCCACTGCCCTGAGGGTCGTGCTAGTGGTGACTCAGCCAGAAAGCCCAGCAGACCCACCGAAGAACAGGGAGGTGGTGGGTCCCCTAGATTCTGTGAGAGTGGGCCCAACCGCACTCCTAATCGGGGGCAAATCAGGATGCCGTTAACAGCAAAAGGCGGCTTCAAGTGTTGGTGAGAATGAGGGGAAGGTGGTCTCTCACTTTCTCAGCTGCAATAGCGATGAATATCAACACTGAAAATGTGTAGCTGCCACCCAGAAGTTCATGTCCAAGTACATTCCCTGGAGAAACACAGAGGACCTAAAAGGACATGTACAAAGATCTTGATCACAGAGCTGTGAAATTTAGAAAAAAGAAAACAATTTAAATGTCCATCAATGGCATGGGTGGATGAGATATTACATATGTAGATGACGTACTGTTATACAGACCTTAGAAGGTTCATTCTGACAAACTTCCCCAGATGTATGTGTATCAATGTGGAGAGATTACAAAACCACAGGGTTGAGTAAAAAATGCAAGTTGCTGAATTATTTGAACAATAGCTTATGATTTATATAAAACACACACAAGTGCTATCTGTGGATTTGTTACCTAGATGTCTAGAAGAAAACAAGCAGACTAAGACTTGAGGTTTCCTCTAGAAAAGGGGAAGTGAGCTACAGTGGAAGGGGTATAGCTTCCTCTATTGGTATTTTTTTTTATTAAGGAGAAGGTATTTGTGTGTATCTTATGTTTTCTCCAGTGGCTGTACCCTGATTCCTAAATTCAATATTATATCACAAGCACTTCTCTGAGTCATCAAAAATTATTCAAATCCATAATTTCCAATGACTGCATGATAAAGTTATTGTCGTTTTTCTCGTTTTTTCCTTCTTTCCTATTATAAATAACCATACAATAAATATGTTATATGAAGTCTTATCTATACTTTTTGTCTCGGATAAATTTCTGGAAGTGGAATTATTAGTTCAAATGGAATGGGTATTTTAAGGCTATTGACACATCTTAGCAAATTGCTATATGTAAAGGTTGCAGAAATTCATCCTTAAGTCTCACTGCACCTTCAACACAATTAAGCCTAACTTTCACCCTCTCAAAGACCTTCTGTTAATTTGACAAGTGAGAAAATTAGTGTCTCGTGGTTGCCTCAATTTTTTTTTTTTTTTTTTTTTTTTTTTTGGTACACGGGCCTCTCACTGTTGTGGCCTCTCCCGTTACGGAGCACAGGTTCCGGACGCACAGGCTCAGCGGCCATGGCTCACGGGCCCAGCCGCTCCGCGACATGTGGAATCCTCCCGGACCGGGGCACGAACCCTCGTCCCCTGCATCGGCAGGCGGACTCTCAACCACTGCGCCTCCAGGGAAGCCCCCATTTTTTTTTTATTATTGGTGAGAATGAACTTGAATTGGGGGCTCTATGTCATTTTTCCTAGTATTTTTTTTCTTAGTATTTAAAATAACTTTCTGAACTGAAAGAAAATATAGTAGCCACCTAAGTTCTGTCTAGTTCTTTGTGGCTTTGATTTTTACACTTAATTTGAAGTTGGAGATAAAATTAAAGTGTGAGTTTTCTTCCACAAAATTTTCAACCCTAAGGAGATGACTGGCTCACAAAGACCATTGGAAGACCAGGTTTTGAGTGTTTCTGTCACCTTTCTCTGCTTTTCTGGGTCTTTGGCCTGGGAATCAGACTAGCCAGGGTCTGAGACCTGGCTGGACACTGACCTGCTCTGCGGCCACACTCAGCCCCATGCTCGGCAAGTCCCGCCCGGGCATGGACACCTCTGCTCTGCACGGCCTGCTGTTCTGAGTTGCTGTCACCACTGTCCTGTGTCCTCCATGGGGAAAGACTCTTTTGGCCACGACGCCAGGTAAAAGTGTCCCATTCTCTGTTGCAGGCTGCACTGCCATTGCAATGACCCTTCTCTCGACGACCCCATCCCCCAGGAGTACGCCCTTTTCCTCTGTCCCACGGGACCCCTGCTGGACAAACTTCAAGAGTTCTGGAGAGAGAGCAGGCGTCAGTGCGCAAAGAACAGAGCCCATGAGGTCTTCCCTCACATAACGCTCTGTGACTTCTTCACGGTGAGTCGGTCCAAGGAGTTTTTAATGCTCATTAACACAGCAGCTGAGTCATTTTCTGCCATAACTAGGTGGTGATGGGGCAAAATTGAGGGGTTTGCTTTCACAGGGCGGTCCACAATGGTGGTGTTACCCGGACTCTTTGTGTGAGATATCCTTTACTTTCTTCCTCATCTTCATCTGGTCAACTTCTATTCATCCTTCAGAACCCAACTCATTTATCCCCTCCCTTTTTGAGTCTTCCCCAGCTCCCCAGGCAGAAGAGGTTGCTGCCCTTTGTGCTCCCACCATCCTCTTGTTTCTAAGTCTAGTGGCACTCTTTCCCTGTTGCATGGCCATGTGTCTGGTTCAGCTCTGCATCCCTCACTGGACTGAACCGCTCAAGTGAAGGAGGATAATTCACTTACCATTGCCCCCCAGAGACCAGCACCATGCCTCAAACAGAGTGGGTGCTTCACAGATGTGTGATGGATCAGCTAAAGAACGGGTTGGCCAGCCACAGATGTAGGACTTCTCCCTGCCTGGGGGACCAGTTCTCTGATTCGAAAGATGTTCAGAGAGCCAGCTCCAGCTCCCCGGATGGGGTCCTGGGAAGGTGAGAAGGACCTGGGATGCTCAAAAGACAAGAGGGAGGCATGAGAATGAGAGAAGGAGGGGCAGACACCACTGTGGCTCCCGACCAGAGAAAAGTACAGACGGCACACCCTGGCCCCACCCCGGCTCTACTGCCAGCAAACTCTAAGGGTCCCACCGGGGCCCAAGGAGCCCTCTGTTCCAGGCTCCTTTGCGCTGCACGGAAAAGGGGATGCAAACCTGTGCAGGAAGGCTTCCAGACGATGCCCAGGAGAAGCAGCATCTTCCAAAGCCCTTGACAATCATCCTCATTTGTCAGGGCCAGTGGGGAGGGATTCCCAGGTTCTGAAACCAGGAAAGTCCCAGGCAAACCAGGGTGAGTTGGTCACCCTACTTGCACATTGATGGCATTTGTGACAGGCTCCTTCCTTGCTTGTCCTAGGAGCTCATCAGGGAAAGGAGAGGCAGTGAAGCCAGCAACGAACATGACCTTAGAAATGGACACACCGGGTCCTAACAGCCAGAGAGCTGACCGGGGCCTCCAACTCTTCCTCCCAGCCTGTCGAGGCATGTCCATTTGTGCACGCACACACACATACACAGACACACAGAGACACACACAGCATCTCACACAGACACACAGACACACCACACGCACACACCATGTCACACACACAGATATGCACACAGAGACACGCACAGCATGACACACAGACACACCACACACGTAGACACACGCACACACATTTCCCTTCTCTTGAGGTAGCTGCCCCCTCACGCCCGCCCCACGTCCCACCCTGCCCTGGTGGCTGAGTGCCCCTTTGCCACCACATAGTGCTGTCAGCTACAGGTCAGTGTATAACGTGGCTCCATGCTCCCAGATTACATGAGATGAGTGCCCTCCAGGCACCACGTGCTTTCCAGGCCCTACGAGGACTGCAAAGATACAACAGAAAGGGTTGAATTTAGTGCACTCCTGGTTAGCAGGGGAGCCGAGGGTGCGCATTAACAATGATGATAAGGTTCATAACTCAGAGAATAAAGAGGGCTGTGGGAAGCCCAGAGGGAGCCAGCTGCTGGGGAGAGCAGGATTTGGCCGGCTCCCCGAAGCGGGTGGCTCTGTCAGGGTTCCACTGGGGTCCCACACGGGCACGTGGAGTCTTTCCCACTGAGCAAGGAGCCAAGGGCTGTGTGGCCAGAGGGCAGGTGAGTGGGTGACAGCAGGGTTGAGGGGGAGCTTGTGAGCCAAGACCACGTCAGAGGAGACCCCGTTGGGGGCAAGGATGGCTCGATCACTGGCCGAGTGTGTGGCCTGCTGCCGGGTCTGAAGGTCAGCAGCTGAGGGGTAGGCTACAACCCTCCTCAGTAGGGTAGGTTGTGAGCGATGCACCCCGGGGCTGCCTTGGTGTCTACAGGAAACCTCCAGAAGCCAATGATGCAGCACTGAGCCCAGCTGTGGGCCACAGGAGTGGAGGACGGGGTTCAGGATGTGATGCAGGGTTGGGTCAACTCAACGTGCAGTGAGGCACATATTTAGAGGGACAAGGGATTTTTGACCTGGGCACTCAAAGGCTATTCTATTCCAAAAAGAGCTTGGCCTGAATTCTATAAGAAACTGGGGACCAGCTATAGAACGGATCCATCACCCCAAACACCAGGACTAGTTAAATTATGTTACAGCATCGTGAACAGAAAAGAGGCTCCCGAGGCTGCCTGATTTTTATTAGTTAAGGTAACAGGTGACTGTCCTGTCTCTGTCCCTCAGTGCGAGGACCAGAAGTTGGAGTGTCTGTATGAAGCACTGAAGAGAGCCGGGGATAGGACCCTGGGCGCCTTCCCCTCGGCCGTGCCTCTGGTTCTCCATTCTTCCGTCAGCTACCTGGGCTTCTTCGTGAATGACAGCACCGCAGACATCATCCAGGAATTTGCTGTGATGTTCGCCACGGAAGCTTCCATCTTAGCAGGTAGGCAGCCCCAGGCAGAAGCACACGCAGGGCCCCGTTAATAGAAAGTGGTCCCTTTGTGCCTGAGGGACTGAGCTCGCCACACTTGGATGCGATGGGCAGACCCCAGGGCAGCAAGAGTGAGACTGTTTCCCAGATGCAGCGACGGTCATCCTACGGGCTGGCCGGGCACAGGGTTATCTGCACCCTCACCAGGTCACTTCCACACCCACCTGGCCCTTTACAGCCAGCAACTATGACACGGCCTTAACCTGAGGCTGAACAATTAGCCAGAACCTCCGTAACGGGCCAGGATGTCCTTCAAAAACGTGAGCTAAGTCAGACAGAGAAAGACAAATATCATATGATATCACTTATACGTGGAATTAAAAAAATGGTACAGATGGGGCTTCCCTGGTGGCACAGTGGTTGAGAGTCCGCCTGCCGATGCAGGGGACGCGGGTTCGTGCCCCGGTCCGGGAAGATCCCACATGCCGCGGAGCGGCTGGGCCCGTGAGCCATGGCCGCTGAGCCTGCGCGTCCGGAGCCTGTGCTCTGCAATGGGAGAGGCCACAGCAGTGAGAGGCCCGCGTACCGCAAAAAAAAAAAAAATGGTACAGATGAACCTATTTACAAAACAGAAGTAGAGTCACAGATGTAGAAAACAAACGTACGGTTACTAAGGAGGAAAGGGGTGCGAGGGATAAATTGGGAGATTGGGACTGACATATACACACTACTATATATAAAATAGGTAACTAATAAGGACCTGCTGTAGAGCACAGGGAACTCTACCCAATACTCTGTAATGACCTGTACGGGAATAGAATCTAAAAAAGAGTGGATATGTGTATATGTATAACGGATTCACTTTGCTGTACAGCAGAAACTAAACAACATTGTACATCAATTATACTCCAATAAGAATTAATTAAAAACAAAACAGAGTGAGCGAATAGAAAGACTCAGAACTAGCAGAGGGCTCTTCTCTAAGTGGAAGTAGCCTTGTCTGCATCGATGCGGTTTTTCAGAACACTCAGCCGTGTTCCAGCTGCTGGGAAACTGTCCCAGGAGGGACAGTGTGTGGTCACATAATGACAGGGGATCGTAGGCTGGGGCACCTCCCCCAGCCCCACGCCCACCAGAGGCATCCCTCCTCACCAGGCCAGTGCTGTATGTAAAACACAAGTCCTAGCTGATTCATTTTAACGTTTTAGGTATGAGCGTAGTTTTGTCTCCTTGGCCTCTTGGGGGGAAAATTATCTAGACTCACTTTGAAATCAATCAAATTCACTTTCCTCAGACACCAGCCCCAGTCTGGAGACTGAGGTTCCGGCTGGGGTTTAGTGGGAAGAATTCCAGACTTGACCTCAGGTGTGAATTTTCCCTCGTCTCTGGTTGGTGACGTGACCTGAATCATGTCCTCTGACCCCTGAGTCGTTTTCTTTCTCTGCAAATGGCTGGGGCTCTCGCCCTGTAAACAGTGCGGCATGTTTGGGGAACTTCCCCGTGGTCCTGGTACTCAGAGGTGCTCCGCACAGCTGTGCTTTGCTGAGTCTGAAACTCGAAGAAGCCGCAGCACCCTGGTAGCAGGACCCCTCCCTGCCCCCTGCAGACATGTATGAACGCAGATGCCGGTCACATGAATAATTTCCTTAGTCCCAGATTTCCATTTGGAGGCTCGCTTGTCGAGTCTGGGATCATATTTGCTAGATAATGATAACCTTACCCCATGTCCTTGCGGATTGCCTCCCTTATGTAAACGTGAGTTCAGGGGATGGCTCTTGAATCTCCTTGTCTCTAGAAGGACGACGGACATGGCTCTTGTCCTGATGCAGTGTATCAGCCAGTTGCCTCCGAGCAGGCCTAGTACCTCACTTACTCCCATGCCCCCCAAAAGTGGCTCTTAATGACCACTCATTTTAAAAATAGAGTGACTGAGGGCTGTGCAGGGTAAAGTGCCTGCCCAAGGTCACTGTCATGGGTTGAAAAGTGTCCCCTAAAATTCAAGTCCACCAAAACCTCAGAAAAGGACCTTATTTGGAAATAGGGTCTCTATTAGATGTAATTAGTTGAGGTCACACTGGAGTAGGACAGGCCCTAAGTCCGGTGTCCTTGTATGACGAGAAGACACAGAGACACAGAGGAGAGGCCATGTGACCACGGAGGCAGGCATTGAAGGGATGTGGCCACAAGCAAAGGAATGCTGGGGCCACAGGAGCTGGAGGAGGACGGGAGGGACCCTCCCCGGGAGCCTTCAGCGGGGGGCACTGCCCTGCAACACCTTGGTTTTGGACTTGCAGCCTCCAGACGCATGAGAACAAATTTCTGTTGTTCTAGGCCACCCAGGGTGTGGCCATCTGTGACAACAGAGTCCCCAAGCCAGTGGGTGGTGGACCTGGCACTAGAGCCCGGCCACGTCCTGCTTCACGCCTCCTGGGCTTTGTGCTGACCCGCTCCACACCCCGGGAAACCGGCTTTGACCTCACGTCCATCGCCCACCCCTTAGCAGGCTCTGCCCTGCCCTCCACAGCCGGCACCCTGGGCCTGACCCTGATGGATCGGGAGGCACCAGGCACAGCTCAGCCAGCGAGCGTGATCCTGGCCAGCTCACGGTCCCCAGGGGCATGGGCGACACAGAGAAATAGACAAGCGCCCATTCAGATCAGGTGACTCAGTGATCTCTCTGACGATGACCTCAGCGGGCCTTTCCCAGGCCACGCTGACTCATCCACGGCAAGGCCGTCCCCCCCACCTCGTCTGGAACACCCGAGAAAAGGAATTTCCCCGCCACCCACATGCTCTCTTGCTTCGAGCTCCTCTCCCCTGCAGCTCAGGGCTGGAGACCTCGCAGCTCAGGGCCTGGAGACCTCTCAAGTTTCTCTTTTGCTACCAAAGGCTCAGATAGAGGACGGGAGACATCAATGGGGTTTTGCCAAGTCTGGGCTCCAGGAAGTGGGTGCATCACCCTTGACGTTTTTCAGGGGGAAGACGGATCCTGTGTGTTGCTAAGTGTTGCCCGTGAGAAAGGTAGCAGGTAACTAAGATTTACTGAAAGTTTCCCGGTGACCTTACGGTTAAGAGGTCGGTTTCCCAGGACAGCCCGTCCAATCCTCAAGTTGTTGCTGTCGAAACTGAAGCTGAGTCAGACCAGGATGGTCCCCAAAGTCAGCTGCCAAACGGGGCAGCTGGGTCTAAAGTCAGGTCTATCAGATTCCAGAGTCTGTGCAGTTCCACTAATCACCACCTCCCCGGAACAAAGCTGCTTTGTGACCTGGCTGAAACCGGATCCCGGCTGCTTCGGGGACGCTGCTGCCCACTAACCTGAGGGCCCTGGGATGAGGTCCAGGAGGGCTGGGGCCATGAGGGCAGAGGTCACTCCAAAAGACCAGGGCCTAGTGGCGCAGGGGTTGAGAGTCTGCCTGCCGATGCAGGGGACACGGGTTCGTGCCCCGCTCCGGGAAGATCCCACATGCCGCGGAACGGCTGGGCCCGTGAGCCATGGCCGCTGAGCCTCCGGACAACGGGAGAGGCCACAGCAGTGAGAGGCCCGCGTAAAAAAAAAAAAAAAGACCAGGGCCTTGGCCACTCCAAGGGCTTCCTGCTTCACCAAAGTCAGCAGAATATTAGAGGCACTGCGATGTCCGATGGAATCGCATTGCTTAGGGCATTTTCTTCCAGAGACTCCACAACTGAACAAAAAGCCATTGACTGGAGCGTGAGCCCACCCGTTCAGGCCACTGTGTCACATGCACACCCCGGGGGGTGAAAGAGATTTGAATCAATTGTCGGGACAATTAGCTTGCAAATTGATGGGCCACAAACAGCCACCCCCAAAACCTGTGTCTCTATACCCTCTGCTTTCCTGCTTCTTCGTAGAATCTGCAAGTACCTCCTTAACGAGGTGACCTCTGTGTGGTGGCCCGTCTGGGCCAACTCCTTGCCCTGTCGGGGGAGCACTGGTGTGGGGAGGGGAGTAGGCAGAGGCAGGAGGTGCGTGTGTAAAGGCGTTTGCACCTCCAGCCCGGGCTCGTGGCCGCCCCGGATGCGGACGGCCCGGGCGTGCAGTGCGGACGTCCGGGTCAAGGTGCCCCGTTTGCGTGATTTCACAGACTGCACCGTGAAGCCCTGCACCAAGCAGTTGCATCTCACCCTGGCCCACAAGTTCTATCCCCACCACCAGAGGACGCTGGAGCAGCTGGCCAGAGCCGTCCACCCCGGCCACAGCTGCCAGTGGACGGCCGCACTCTACTCCCGGGACATGCGCTTTGTACACTACCAGGTGAGCGAATGCAGGCGGACGGCTGGGCTGGACCCCGCCATGGGAATAGGTGAACGCTGCCCTCCTGACGGAGCCCTGACCCGCAGGAGCCCTCGGATGGAGGTATTTCAGCAGAAGGACGAACTTCTATCCCTTGTCTAAAATCATTCTTTGGCCTGCGCTATGGAATTAACATTCTTTTGTATATATAAGTCGCAGACACAGAAATTTGGGGAAAAAGTGGAAACATTTCTGGTATTAAAAATGGACGGTTGCAAAGATTTATGAATACATTGTGCTGCTTGCTGATTTGTTTAGATAATGATTTGAGTGAAGCCTCGGTTCAAGACTCCCTCCCCATGGGACTGATTGCTTCAGGTAGAAAGCTTGGTATGCTCCTTTCAGACCCATGGAACAAGTATGAATGAATCCACCGTGTTCTGTGGTGTGGGAGAAGCTGTAAATAACCTCACTCCAAGGCGGGCGGATGTGAACATCTGGTTATGCTTTGAAATTATCATATAAGAAATAAGTAAACAGAGATAAATAGGTAGGTAGATAGTAGACTGATAAAATAGGTAGATAGATAGATGATAGATAGGTAGATAAATTGATAGGTAGATAAGAGGTAGATAGATAATAGATTAGGTAGATAGGTGATTGATAGATACAGATGTAAATAGATACAGAGGTAAATAGATGATAGATAGATAGATAGATGATAGAGAGATAATAGATAGATGATAGATAGATACCAAAATTCATTTCTGAATGTATCTGAACAAGTGTATACTTCCTTTTGTCATATTCTACTGTCATCAGACAGAGGCTTGGATGTGTCTTGGAGACACAGAACCCATCCTTGCTTGAGACATGAAGACACTTTCCTCCATTCTAGACCCTGAGGGTCCTGTTCCAGTACAAACCGCAGAACATGGATGAGCTGACACTCAGTCCCGGTGACTACATCTTCGTGGACCCCACTCAGCAGGAGGAAGCCAGCGAGGGCTGGGTGATTGGGATCTCACAGCAGACTGGCTGCCGGGGCTTCCTGCCCGAGAACTACACGGAGCGAGCTAGCGAGTGTGACACCTGGGTGAAGCACAGGTGAGCGCCACTCTGCCCCTGCAGCCCAGACGCCTCTCTCAGACTTAGTGTCTGAGAGCGTCTTTTTGGAAACAGTGGCCGTGGTGCTTGTATGCTTCTAGACAGTTCCATTGTTGGTAAAAATTGCCTTCTCCGTGCTAGCAACATTATTCCTGCAGGTATATGGTAAATATCTTGGTTGATTTGTGGTTTTCCACTGAAAACATTCAGAAAACATCAATTACTCTACAAAACTTTTCTGAGATCATAATCCCAAAAGGACTACAAAATACCACTTCCTTATTATGAGCAAAACAAATTATAGAAGCATACAAGCACCGTAGAAGAGATAATTCAATTAAAGATAAGCCAGTGAAATAAATTACGATACATCCATACAATAGAATACTTGAGGTTTTTAAAAGTGATCACAGGGAAGTATTTTATGTACTGATATAAAAAAATCCAAGAGAAGTTGCAGAACGATGTATATAGGATAATACTAACTGTGGGGAACAGATGCATTAAAACATTACCATCTGTGCTTAGATCTGCACGATATGTATTTATATGCACGTCCATACATAAAAGTTCCCTGGAAGGGAAGATGTCTATAAACGTCTAACAGTGGCTACCTGCAGGATTGAGGGTGGGAGTTGGGAGAATGGAATAGGAATGGGAGGGAGACTTTTCACCCTCTACCATTGCATAATTTTTAACTTTGTGAACCATAGAAATGTATTATTTATTCAAAATCTAAATTAATCAATTTTAAGTTTAAAGAAAAGAATATAAGGAAAACTGGGTCAAAGGGAGAATAAAGGGAGAGAAGTCAGACAAACCCAGGGCCAAGCTCTGTGCACACCATGCACGCTGTGGGCCCCAGGCTCCGAGCTCTCCCACACCCAACGTGGAAAGGGATATGGCTTCCACGAAAAGATCACAGCCATCCCAGGTATGGGTAGACCAGTCGTCCCGGAGAAGCACAGTTTTGCAGATGTGGACATGGCCATGTGTCCAGTGGCCACAACAAAATCACAGGACATTGGTGTCACGAGGGACCGCAGAGATAGTCAGGTACATCATCATCCCTGAGAGTTGAGAACACTTGGGCCCAGGGAGGTGGAGGGGCCAGATGACACCACGCAATCACGCAAGCACTTGGTTCCTTTTAGAACCAGCTCGGACCATCACCCGGTCCAATGAACCATTTAAGGAGTAACAAGGGAGAAGATGCCGGTTCCACCCCAACTGACCATCTGAGGTCCAGGTGGTGTGGGCTCCCGTCTGGTCCCTGTCCTTTAGCAAGTCCCCCAATCCTTGCTCAGGACAAGAGAGCATCACTGTCGCCAGGCAGTCGGCAGACTGGATGTTTCTAGAACTATGCAGCTAAGATTCTGGAGAAAATGAGTTTATGGCTATCGCATCTTTCACCTCACAGTTAATCTATTATTAGTCACCTGTCACCAAAGTAACGGTTCCAGCTTTTAAGCTGAACATTTCTGGGACTATTCCTTCTAGAAACAAGTTTCCCCTAGGAATTGATAAGTATTAACAAGAATTATAGCAAAAGAAGAGAAAACTAAGTACTGGGCTGGGCTGTGGGGTGTCTGATTGGCCGTGTTTTGGAAGCACCCCAGCTGTGCTGGGGAAGAAGTAAGACAAACAGTGACATGTGATTCTGGGTCAGAAGGACAGAGAGCCAGCACTGTTGCCGGACTCGGCTGTCCTGGCTAAGTCTTTTAAAATGGCCCAAAGTGTACTTTATTAAACTTCAAACTTTTAAATTCAGAAAATGGCCCTAGAATGTCTGGACACCTTACTAATTGGTTGAGCAGAAATACCGTCCGATGATACTGTCCCAAGGCTACTTCAGCTGTGGGCAGACAAACTGTTGTTTACAGACAGTGGATAAATATCTCTGACAGTGTCAGCACAGAATTCACACTTGGGACATGCAACCCAAGCAGGAAAAATTATTGGCCTTACATCAGTGACCCGTCACCAATGCGACAATTCAGCCTTTGTGCCAATAGTTCAGGGTCTCTGGATTTACTCAGCAACAAAATGACCCCACAATATTTGCCTGTTACTTTGAAGAAAAAGATCAGAGGTGACCACTGTGATATTGATGGAACATAGTCATGAATCACAGCAGTTTTCAACCCTCCACAGACAAGAATGTATGTAGCATAATCTCGAACAAAGAGCCATGAACGTTAGAGCTTAGAGGACACTTTGTCCTCTTTGAGCCAAGATGAGAGTACCAACCCTGGAGCAATACATGCTCAGTAACTTTCCAAACCCACAGAGCAAGTTCCTGGCAAGTAGCTCAGACATAATAGAGATATTGTCATGGGCTGCACTGTGTCCCCCAAATTCATACGTTGATGTCTGAAGCCCCAGCACCTCACAATGTGATTGTATTTAGAGATGGGTCTTTAAAGAGGTGACTAAGATAAAATGAGGTCACAGGGTGGGCCCTAATCCAATTTGCCTGGTGTCCTTATAAGAAGAGGAGATCCGGACGCAGACACACACAGAAGGATGATCATGTGAGGACACAGGGAGAAGACGGCCGTGTACACACCAAGGAGAGAGGCCTCTGGAGGAACTAACCCCGCCCATACCTCGATCTTGGACTCAGCCCCCAGACTGTATGAGAATAAGTATCTGTTACTTTAGCTGCCCCGTCCATGGTACCTCGATACGGCATCCCTAGCAGACACAGTCCACACAACCCCACAGACAGCAGCTGTGCCCCTTTTAAAAGCCAGGGAGAATTTAAATACATCTATTTCTATTGTGTAAGTTAAGGAGTAAGTGGGCCTCCAACGTTTCAGAAAAAAACAGAAGTATTAAAATGCTACCTTCTTTCCTTTCTCTTCTCATCACCAACATCCCCATCGTAATCAAGGTTGTATTTCATTTGAAAGAGTAGCAAAAAAAAAAAAATTCAATTTTTCTCTCCAGCTGTAAGCTTCACAGATGTTATTTATAGATAAGGAGGCTTCATTATCTGCCCCGAGGGCCCGAGGGCCAGGAGCAGGGTGCGGGAGGGCCACACCTCGCCCTCAGGAAGGGGAAACCCACCAGCATTTCCTGTGTCAACATGAGACTGCAAATACTGAGAGCGTGCTCACTAGAAGAGGGAAATGTCAATGGTCTGAATATGGGCATCACGTTCTTGTCTATTTATGACCAGTTGAAGATGTCGAATGTGCTGACATCTGACGCTGTGAGAATATGAGCCGTGTAAATCTATTTGACCTGGATCCTGCTGTTACGGACCAGGGTTCTTAGCTTCCTTAATCAATGGAAATTGATCAGAGGCCAGACAAGAAATTCAGGCACGGCTTTGTTGGGACCACTGCTGCCACAGGGGGGAGTGAGAACCAACAACAGTTTCCCTTGCTTGCCTGCTCCCCGAGGGGGGTCGAGCTAGTTCCTTATATGGGGTGAGGGGAGGGGTGTGTCCAGGGGTCAGGCTGGAGGGGCGACTTAGGTGGTCTGCCCACCCCTTAGGTGGTGGTGCGTGCAGGGGGCACGCGCGGTGCCCTGCTTTTGCTCCCGACACCCTGTTTCTGCTCCAGGCTCTTCAAAAGTGGCAGTTGGGTTTTTTGGTCTCTTTGTATATTTTGGGTCCAGAATTTGACCCAACTGGGTATGCACTCAGTTATTTTTAGTCCTGTACAGTTTCTTTGTATTCTGTTGCTGGAGGAGAGGTGTGTCCAGGTGCAAGGCCTGCAGCAAAGGGTCCCAGGTCCCAGCAAAAGGTCCCAGGTCCCAGCCTGTCTCACCGCCAGTAGGATTTACCGCTCAAGACAGGACAGGCAACAAGATGGGAAGAGAAGGTACGACTGGCAGACAGTTTCAGAAGTGAGTTCACTACATCGAAACACCGCGTGGGCACTGAGGGTCCCGGGCGTACGGTTGTGATGGTGAAAAGCAGGTGGCCTGAGCCTGTGGGCCCCTGAGATGCAGGAGAAATGATGCCACTCCCAGCTCAGGACCCGGTTAGGGTCTTAGGATGGAGGCCTGGGAGCCATCAGCTTTACGAGAACTGGGGGACTTGGGGCCACTGTGGGAGAGAAAGGCAAACATTTACAAATGGGCCGAATAAGTAGAAACACACCACGTTCGTGATGGAGCAAAATGAATCCTCCCAGAGCCATTTCCAGGTTTAATGAAATTCCAGGGAAAATCCCAATGGGATCGTTTGTTGGAACTTCACTGAGCGATTGAAAAATTTATCTGGGAGAATAAATAGGAGAGAAGAGCTGAGAGCACTTTGAAAAATAAAAGTGATGAGAGGAGATATTTACCCTACCAGATATTAAAAGCATGTTATAAATCTATAATATGGTACTGACTTGAGGGAAAGAGAAAAAATAGATCCGTTGGACAGACTAGCTAACAGAGCAGGAGACCGGGTATATTAGGAGGTTCCTATCTGATAAATGCATCAGAAATAGGAAAATAAATGGGTGTAAAATAAAAGGTGTTCTGTATGACCTCACAGCACACACTGATATCAGTTTAATTCTGAGTCAGGAATTAAACAGAAAAAGAAAATCATTTTAAAATAGAAGGCAGTTTAAACGACTGTATTTCTGATTTCTGGACTGGGGAGAGCTTTGAAAGCAGAGAAGCAGTGGAATGGATCTTAGGGTGAGACTTAACAGATGTGTCTTTAATACTGATTATTAAATGCTTAAAATGTAAGCCTCCTGTATGTTAAAAATCATACTACAATTTAAAGAGCAAGATGAGAACATGCTTTCCAGAGAATAGTAATAAAGACGTTCCCTTACCAGTCACTCACGTGAGCGGACTGTCTGCCTCCTTCTCTTCCCCCGTAAACTGGAGGCCCAGGCATCCCTGGACACTCTGCCCACCCGTTGATTTGTGTCCGATTTTTTCATTGAACCCAGAGGCCACCTACTGCATTCCTCACTCCTATCCACCGGGACAGGTGAACGTCAGAAGGGCGTCCACCAGCTCTGGTCACCTGCAGCCTCTGGGCCCACGTGCCCTTCTCCCCACAGCGCACTGTGATGCTGGGTCCAAACTCCTAGCCAAGGCCACCTGTTCACGGCACGTTGCATCCCATGCCTCCTGGGCATCCCATGCCCTCCAAGGGCATCACGCCAGCACCATCTGTCATCCCAAGGCCCTCCCCAATGGCTCCCACCAGCAAGCAAACATGCTGTTATCTTAAAAACAAAATCAAGCACAAGCTCTCTTTTTTTCCCATTTCCCTCTCTAGCTACTGTCCATTTCTCTCCTCTGATTGTACGTATCTTTTTCACTCAGCCTTGTTTGAAACTAGCCCACACGCTCTAAAGCAGATTACAGGCCTCCTGAGGACAGCTTCCGTATGACTAGTCGTCCCTTTACGACCACCAGGACAGGTGTTCAGATCCCATGGGAAAGGGAACCACAGGTGCTTGTAAATTGTTTTTAACTAGAGTTTACAAAGATGGCCTTTCGCTTTCTAAAAGGAATCTCCCCTGGGAACCTGGCCATTTCTTGCTCTTGGAGGATTTGCATCCATGACGGTCGGCACCTGGCCCCTCCCCTGTTCCTCACCTCGGCACCAGCACCCACTCACCTTCCGGAGTTCTCACAGCTCCGGTGTGCCATGACCTTTGCCCTCAGTGGTCCTCAGAGCTCCCAAACGGCTGTCCACCGGGGCACCTTTCTTGATCCCCTAGACGAGCAGCAGTTCCTTCTCCGCCTGCAACTGCTCAGGCACCGTGGTCACCCACCCGCCCACTAATGCATCTGTGCCTTTCCTGTGTGTTGCCATGGTGTTTAATGTGTCTGTTCTGCTCCCTTATCCCTGTTCCCAACCACGAGCATCTTCACACCTTTGGTTATTTTAGAAGGCGATTCTTAGAGGATGATGCACTGATTTGCTCGGGCCTCATAACAAGATATCACAGACATGGTGACTTAAACAGCAGGTGTCCCTTCTCTTGCAGCCCTGGAGGCTGGAAGTCCGAGCTCAAGCTGGTCCCTCCCGAGGCCTCTCTCCCGGGTGTGTAGATGGCCATCTCCTCCCAGTGTCCCCACATTGTCATCCCTGTGTCCTGATCTCCTCTTCTCAAAAGGACCCAGTCAGATTGAATTAGCACCCACCCTAGTGACCTCATTTTACCTTCATCAGCTCTTTAAAGGTCCGACCTCCAAATAGGGTCCCATTCGGAGGTCCTGGGGGTCAGGACTATACACCTGAGGGCACACAGTTCGGTCTGTAACAGGTGGTGACGGAGAACATGAACCACCACCACTGGCTCAAGAGCTGCTATGTGCTGGGCACTGAGCCGTTTTGAACCATTGTTTCGTTTCATCCTCACGATGACCCAACCCACCTGTCGCGTCGCATGCATGCTCTCCATCACGTGACGACCGGATGCTTCCCAGGGTCGTCATGACACTGATCTCTTTCCTCTCCCACAGGACGTACACCTTCGGTGTAGCCCCAGACCCGAGCTCCGGGAAGGACGGTGAAGCCAGCAGCAGACGGAACGGGGAGCCTCAGCCTCTGCCCGTGTCCCAGAGCAGCAGCCTGCAGTCTCTACAGGTGACGGGGCCCTAAGGTCAAATGAGCCGCTCACAGCCCCACTCTGTGTCAACTCCGGGTAGACTCGGCTTCTCAGGGGCAGCTTTCATTCAGATACTGCGGCCCTGAGCTCAGACCCAGGTGGGCCAGCAAGGGGCCCATCTCTCTGCTACCAGGTCCCCCTGCTCCGTCCACCCCGGGCAGAGGGTGACCCCCGCACACACGCACACACTGTGAGCCTGAGCACTGTCATCATGGCACTAGGTCACAGGGCAGGAAAGGGGCAGGGACCCAGCCCTCCTGGGGGGCCACACTCTCACCCTAACTCTGCCATTGGCCAGCTGGCTCCTCCCCCAAGAGCCCACCGGCCCCCAGAGCTTGCCTCCAGTTCAGACAAGAGCTGAGCGCAGGGCAGGGGACACTGGGACCCTGGGAGGACAATGGGTGACCTCTTTAGCTGGGCCTTCAGGGGGTGAACGGCCTGGGTGGAGAAGCTGCAGACTGGGAGCCAGAGGCCTGCCAGCCCCAGACCGATGAAAATGGGGCCCCCGGCCCAGACTCTCTGGGAATGAGGGAGGCCGGCCTGGACTGGGGCCGTGGGCTCCCTGAGGCTGAGCCCCCCTTTCAGATTGAAGGAGGGGAGGAGCTGGCTTGCAATGCTCAGCCCCGAGCTCGAGCTCGGCCTCTGTCTGAACACTGGTGCTTTAAATGAACGAGAACCTGACACCGTCCCCGATAACAGAACCCTCCCCTGGCCTGAGGTCACTCCATCCAGGTAGTGAGAAAGGAAAACTGGCCATCGTTTTGCTGTGGTCGAGTAGTGGGCTGAAAAATGACTCCAAAGAGGTAAGGTCCCAATTCCTGCCACCTATTATGAGGAAAATGGTCTTTGCATGTGGGACTGAGATAAGGATCTTGATGGGGAGATTATCTTGCAGGCCCTAACCCTAATCACAGGAAACAGGGGATGTGATGCTCATAGACGAGGAGACAGGCACACAGGGAGAAGGCACGTGACCTCGGGGCAGAGACTGGAGCCACACGGCCACACGTCAAGGATGCTGGGGCCACCGGGACCCTCCCCTAGAGCCTCTGAGGGGGCCTGGCCCTGCGACACCTTGATTTTGGACTTCCAGCCTTCAGAACTGGAAGAGAATAAGCTTCCTTTGTTTTCAGCCCCCGCAGTTGGTGCTTTGTTACAGCAGTCCCAGGAAAGGCATCCAGCGCCTTCTGTCAAAAGATCTGATGCAGCCCTGCTGTTGTGTGGACCCAGGGGTTAGTCCATTCCATTCCCCATGGACCTTTCACTTTATCATAATATTTCTGATGCAAAGCTCTGCATTTCAAAGTTCAACTCCTCCGTGCTCTTCCAGGGAAGAAAATGCCCTGAATCCAAAACCTCAGCCCAAGGCAGTGATGATGCTTTGAGACCATCAGTGAGCAGATCCAGGTTGGGAGCACGTGTGTGTCCTGTGACCTACTGGGAAGATCTGTCCTCGGCAGGGGGAATGAAATAGAAAGGGGGTCCTGGTGTCCGTGCAGGCAATCCCACAGCCATACTTCAAAATGTAAGACAACAACGGGACTTCCCTGGTGGCACAGTGGCTGGGACTCCGTGCTCCAAATGCAGGGGGCTCGGGTTCGATCCTCGGTCAGGGAACTAGATCCCACATGCATGCAACAACTAAGGAGCCCGCG